CCCAACAATTCTTTTTATTGATCAAGGTAGGATTACGAGGTACAAGTTTTTGTCCCGTTTAATTTATTTTTCATGTTGATAAATATTATGCTAATGAAAGTTATGATATGATATGATATGATATGAAATGGCCATCCGTTACCAAAGATATGATATGATATGGGCTCTTACTGGTTCTAAATATATGATGACGGTATGAAGATACTTGACACATGTTTAAATTATTTTATTCATGTTGGTAGATTATTGTACTCAAGAAGTATGACGGTATGATATTTTGACGCATGATATAATATTTTTAATTGGGATCGCACCATTAATCGTATCCTACTGAGTATTTCCAAGTACTTATCTTTTTCCCTACTCCTCATAGATTAGATCAGATGAGATCGTTGGTTGGCGGGGGTTGAGGTGCAGTCGTGGTGCCAGAGGTTTGGAATGTATAATATAAATCTATGTAACAAGACTAATATTTTAATTCCAGTTTTTACCTTAGTATTACTATTATTTTGACTTTTACTTGGGGATTTGAAAACATTATTATACACGTGTAGATAATTTCAAATATTTAGTTCACCTTGTCATTTTACTTTTCTGTTAAATCTTTGAAAGTTGCCTTATATGTGATTTAAACGTTTTCAAATAGTGATTACTCATACATTCAGTAATTAAAAGGTGTGATGGGTTAGTAATTCATTTATGGTACTGCTCATTAAATGTCTTATCAAATTAAAAGAAATGGTAATTGATGCCCTCAAATCATGTCCCTGATTCTTAGATTGTTTTTGAATATTATTTGATCTATCATGCATACATGAATAAATTGTAGTATTAGTTTATGATTTTTCTTATAAATTGTTTTCGTAGCAATCAAATCCTTTAAATATTTGGGGCGTTACAATATCCCTTTTTGATGATTCAAAATTCAAGGGAAACCTCTCGCCAAGTTTTTGCTCAAAATGCTTCTTGCAAATATTTTCCATGAAAGCTTATTTTTAAAATCTTACTCTTTTTGAAATAAAGAAAGACAGGATTTTGGTGAAATTGATACATGGACACATGGCTTACATTTTGAAAGATTTCTTACAATAGAAGGACTGTTATACATGAATGGGTGAAAATAAAATTCAGCTTTTATAATGTCCAAGTGAAGACAAATTTTAAACTTGTGAACCGGAGTTTGTGTATAAATAATTTGGAAAAAAATGTCCCTATCGTTTCAATTTTTGATTTACACCCTCATTTCAACATTTTATTAGGGAGTTGGTCTATTTTCATCTCGTTCCATCAATATCCTTACATCAAATAGGGGTACTTGGAGCGAAACATCCTATCGTTTGCTTTCATTGAGCAAAACGTGCCTATTGTAAGAACATTCTTTTTTCAAACATGGACTAAGCTCAAAAAACATTTCTATATAAACCCATTTTAGAAAATTGATTTTTTTTTTTTAAATGTAATGTATAGAAAAGTGATAAACACTCTCCAACAAGGGCTAATTCTCACACTTGAACTTGGCTCTCTTACAAAAGATCACGGTCTGGCCTACTCGTATATGCATTTTCTCTCTGCTCCATTTCTTCCCTCTCTTGTGATTGCAAGGTAACTTAGGTTTCTCCACTATTAATC